AAAAGTTGCATAAAATTTAATCTTTTCTATTAAAAATGAGAAGAAATCGTTGAAATTTAAGCAATTTTATATCATTGTTATTATCGCAATTATCAAAAGGAAAAAATGATCAAAATCTATTGAACATCGTTCGCAATCATTCGCAATCAACCGCAATCATTCGCAACCATTCTCAGTCATTCACAATCATTCGCAATCAACCGCAACCATTCGCAATCATTCGCAATCAATCGCAACTATTCGCAATCAATCGCAACCATTCGCATTGGCCATTGGGTTGTATAATCTTTTTCACAACCTTATTTTTCCATCAAAAACTGTACAAAATTAAAATTGTTAAAAAGTTTTGTTTTTTGCTTTCATATATTTTCACACACACACACACACACACACACACACATACACACACACACACACACACACACAATAATTTCCTTTTTCTCTTCAATTCTTAATTAATTCATTTGTAAATATTCCAAATGTTACCTCTTTTGTTTTTATCCAAAAAAAGAAAAAGTTAATCATTCATTCTTTGTTCTTTCTAATTTTATTTTACTTTAATTGCAATTAAATGAATGGATGACTAATGAAAACAATCGAAAATAATTTTTAAACAATTTTTTGTTTAATTCAGAAAACAGAAAAAGAGAAATAAACAACAGCGATATGAAAATAATTCTATAATAAAGTGTGGCAATTTTAATGCTTTTGTTTACACACAAACTTCGTCTTCTTAGTCATCTAATTACTTAGTAATACTTCTTAGCATTATAATGACTGAATTTCTGCAAATCTTCATATTCACTTTCATCTTATCAAACTTTTTCTTTTCATCCAATTGCCTACCGTATTTGCATTTTTAAAATTAAAATTTTATGAATTTTAAAAAGAAGGAAAAAAGCGATTTAAAAAGATCTACGAAAGGATAAAAAGCAAAATATCGTTATCCTACGTTGAAAGCAATAATTTGTGGTATATAATTTGATGGATCATTTCAACAAATTTCTTTCCTTTCTTATAATTTTTTTTTATTTCTTTTCTAATTTTAATTAGAGAAAAAAACAAAAAGAACGATTCTTTTTTTGACATTTAATTTTGTATTTTAGTTGGATATTATCGTATAATTTCATTCATTTATATATCATTTCGTTATGGCAACTTTTTTGAAATTAACAAAAAAGTTTTATTATTTAAAGTTGAAAATATATAAATAAAAATAAACGAAAAGTTTGTTTTGAATATGCGCAAAAGTTTTTTCATTCTTCTCTTTATTTTATTCAGAAAAATGATTTGCAATGAAGTAAGTATAAGAAAGGATAATGAATAATTTGTCGTATATCTCTTCTCTTTTCCTAAAATTTTTTTCTTTCCAAAAGCTATTATTTAAAGTGTTCCAATAAATTTGAACAAATTTCAACATCTCTTCAACATCACTTCACTATTATTCATTATTTAATTATGTCTAATTTTCTCCATATATCATTTTAACTTTTGATAAAATTAAGCCGTACGGAAGGAAGAGAAGGAAAAGGCAAAAATGAAAAGAAGGAGAAATTTGAGTGTTGAAAATATCCAATAAAGATTCCGTAATTTATAAATAAATTATGTTAAATGAGTGGCTTCTTCAACTACTACTTTGAGATAGAATCATTTCAATCATTTCAAAAATGTGACTTAAATATTGCAGCAAATTTTTCTCAGTATATAATTTTAAGCTGCTTATCAATCTATTTCACCATGATTCTCAACAGTTAACATTATTGCAACTATCACAAATGAGTAGTATTCTACGATCGACTAACTTTGTCATTATTACCAGGATCATTGAAATGTTTTTCAGTTTATCATAAACGCTTGGTTTAATTGCTAATTTAAGAGAATTATATGCAATATTATTACTGTAATTTTAACTCTGCCAAATGTATTTGATTTTTACAACTGAAAACAAAAATGATTTGCTTCATTATCAAAAATAAATTTATAGAGATAATTAGCTAAAACTAATAAATATAAAAGTCAAAACATAATTTCTACAATTTACTTTATTCTTATTCTGCAATAGCAAAATTTTTAAGAAATATCTATCATAACTTTTAAAATTTCATTGAAAATAATTTCATCAGATTAGTATGTATTACTAGATTAGTGCAATGTTACTTCCTAAATATTATCGAAAGAGAGAGAGAGAGAGAGAGAGAGAAAGAGAAAGAGATTAAATTCATCATCTGACAGCAACTATCGCATCCATTGATTTATGCAGCAATAATAAAACAAATAAAAAGAAGAGAAAATGGAAGAACATAAAGAAATAATGGGAAATTTTTAAGAAGCATTAATTGCAGTTGGAAATGTTCACACACAATTCTGTCAAATATATCTAATTCCTTTTATAGTATTTATTTCATTTCGATATAAATGAAACAAAAATAAACTGTCACATTCATTTCATTGCTTACAGTCTTTGATTTTACTTCATTTCTCTTTCTTTCTTTCATTTTACAGAATATACAACCGATGAATTCAATCTCATTTATTATTATTATCTGACAAGACGAATGCTTTTTTTTTTGTCATTTCATACAAGCCAGCTATTTTTTGGTATGAAATCAATGAGGAAATATTTTGCAAAGAAAATTTAGAAGCAGAAGACAGTGGTGAAAAGCTGTTCATATCGTCCAATCACAATCAGAACCATTCCTGAAATTATTTCCCTAAGGATGGTATTTTTCAATAAACGTTTCGAATTCATTAAATATAACTACTATAAGTTACGATAACAAATTTTGATTATTAACATTATCGATAACTTTCCTATAATTTAGTAAAAATTAAAAAGGGAAAAAATTGTTAGTAATATTATTAAGCATTTAAAAAATATCAAAATAATCGGTTATTAATTATTTCTTCTTAAATAAAAATGATTAATTATCAATTATCAATTTCATTCCTCAAATTTTACTAATTGTTTGTTAATTTTTCCGAATGATTGTAATCATCAAATTTGTAATACTAAAAAATTTTTAGTTAATTTTTTTGCCGATGAAATAAAATTACGGTAAAGCATTTGATTTATGTAAAAAAAGATGAAGAGAATAATATATTTGGGAGAATATCATCGATAATATTTACGAAATTAAGTCGAATTGCTTTTCCATATTTAATAAAAAGTAATAAAATTTCAATGAATTCAAGAAACATTTCTTTTTAAGGATTTCCTTCTTTTGGATAACTTTTTAGCTGCTAATTTAATACAATTCTCTTCCAAAATTTCCTCTTTTTCTTGCTGATTTTAAAAATTTCTTGGCTAAAATTGTTGAACAAATTAGGCTAACCAATGTGATTTGCATTAAATTTATATTAGTGTTCCTTTAAGGCCCTTTTCCGGTTTCGTATATTTCTCACTTAAAGAAAGCTTCCGTTTATTTTGTTTGTTTTTGATTAAATTATAGTGAAATTTCACTTTAATGCCACAAATTTCTTATTCGTTTCTTTAGTTGGTATTAAAAAATTAAAATTATTTTATTGTTATTTTCTTCTTAAAAAAAGTTTTCTAAAGTTCTTTATTGTTTTGCTTTGTTCATTTATTTGTTTTAAAATTTCTTTATTTGTTTTTTTTTTTTAATTATTTCATTCCTAAAATTTCATTAAATTAATTAATGACCAAAAATTCTTTTTATCACAAAGAATATTACTTTTTTATTTGTCAATTAAATTGAAATTTACAATTTATAATGTACAATTTTGCAAAATTTTAATTTTACGATAATACTAAGTAAAATTTATATTATTTTTTTTTCAATAGAAAATTATGTCTTCCATCGATATTAGTTGTTTTAATAAAAGTGATTAATTAAATTAAATTCAATTAGATCAAATTCAACTTAATTCAATCGAATTGAATTATATTAGATTGAATATTTCCAGAAATCACAATAGTTAATTATTCCTTACCATTGCCTGATGTCAACATTAGATAATAGCAATGATACGGTATTATTTGACATGCGATATCAGAATACCGATTTCGAATCTTCAAATCGACTACCAACAGAAGTTGTATGTTTTATTCAATTATTCATGTTTTTTTATAAAATTGAGAAATTTGCAATAATGAAGAAAATCACGTTAAAAAATCGTAATTTGCGATTCATTTGGAGGTAATATTTTCATTGTTTTGAAAGAAGAAATGATAATTTTCTCTTTCTTTTATTTAGAAATTTTAATTTGCAATCAAAGATTTTATTTTCGTAGATTTCAGCCTAAATTATTCAATTATATTAGAGATTCGGATGATAAACCAGTAGGATATTGGGAGATATTTTGGGATAATGGAAATTCTAATAAGCTATTTACTGAATTATTTCGTTTAATCTGTTAGATTAAATTATTCGTCGTTGATTAACATTTCGGTTTTTAGATTATTCGATTCAATGAAATTAATCATTTGCTACTTTTCTTCCCATTCCCATATTGCTTTTTCATCGACATGAATATATATTTGATTTAATTTAATTTCATCCATCTAAAAAATAATAAAAAAAACATATATAATAATAATCATATTATTTCAGGTTGAAATAGTAATATATTTATTATGCCTTTGTATTGGTGGACCATTGAATTTAATTTGCTTTGGACGATCACTTCGATTGTATGTGAACGATCGAAAGCAACGAAATCAAATACTTTTGCTTAGGCTGCATTTGAATATTGCTGATTTATTAACTATTTTCATCTACACACTGTCACAAATTATTTGGATGACAACATTTCAAGTGCTTCAATTTTTTCTTTCTCTTTCAATCATTTCCCTAAAATACAACAATTATTTGATATTTCCTCACTTCTGCCATCTTTTTGTATTAACCAAAAATGATCAATCAATATACATATTCATAATTAGAATAAATTCAAATAATTTTAGGCATTATTATTTCGAATTTTAAACAATGAAAATATATATTTCCTACAAAAAAAAAAAAAGAAAAAGTCTCCCGCAGAAAATTTCAAAATTTTTCGAAATAATATTATATATTTTTTGTTGATTAAAACGAAATTTTAATTGCTTTTGATAGTTCTAAAAAATTTTTTTTAAATGATTTTTCAGTTGGCAAAATTTCAAGGATCTCATTGATGTTTTGAACAAACAATTTCGTTCGAATCAATAGGGATATTTAAATATTTCGAGGATTGATATAAATCAAATCATGCTGATTTTCGAGTACTGATATAAATCAAATGAAGAAGCGATTTTTGTACTGTTATAATTGAGTTTAATGAAAATTTAATAAAATTTCAGTGGTATGGCGGTGATGCTTTATGTCGTATATGCAAATTTTTTCACACATTCAATTTTTATTTAAATTCATTTGTTATTGCAGTAATAGCGATTGATCGAGCACAAGGAGCGTATCGAATAAAGTCAGTTTGATTTCGATACTTTCTCTCGTAACAATTTCTTTCTTTTGTTTCAACTGCTTCCAATAATGTTTGGGAATTTCTATTGCACTCAATTTTTAGAACTTTTTTTGTATTCAAAATAAATTCATTCAAAATTAATTAAATAATTGAAATGCTTTTGACTATAAAACTTATAATAATTGATTGCATTAACTATACCCTTTCCTCGTAACCTTCTCTATAAAAATTATTTCATAAATATTCCTTTAATCAAATATCGTCATTTTATTATTTTTTTCTAAGCTTTTCACTTCATAAACATATTTAAACATACTTTCATATAATTATAGCAATATAGAAGCATCAAAATTAGCGTTTCGTTGGGTAAAACATATGCTTATAACGTCTTATATGGCTGCGACCATTTTCTCAGTACCACAAATATTTATATTCCGTGTATATCAACCAAATGAAAATATCGAATTTCGGTAATCCATTTATATTATAAATTACAATTTACAAATAGTAATTAATAAGAATAAGCGAGTAGAGAATGTAAAAGTTATATAAAATGAACACAGCTGAGATTCATCTTTTGTCGCAAACTTTACGATTTATTTTTTTGTAGTCTGCATACTTGCATAACCTATGACCTATTCTTTGTCACAGAATTGTAGAAAACTAAAAAATTGCACTAATTGTAACACATTGGAAACACCATAATATATAACAAAAAAAATGTTTTAATGCTTCTGAGATTAGGCTTAAATGGCATATTTACCTTCGTCCTTCTTTTCTTCCTTTCTTCTAATTTTACTTACCTTTGGAGGATTGAATTTTTTTTAGTGAAGCATTTGAGTGAATTATTTTTGCCCAATTTCTAACGATTTTGTCTTTCAATTATTTGAAATTTAATTTTCTTTTGTTACCTTCAAATTCTTAGGCAGTGTACGCCAATATGGACAATTCATGCTTACAAATACGATATCCAAATGCAATTAGCTAAAACGGATCAAGAAAAAAATCTATTAACAGCTGATTTTTATCAGGTAATTAATCAATTTGCTATCTTACCGGTACTAACATTAATTAAGAATCAATCTTAGAATTAGCTAAAAAAAACGACATTGCGTGAAGGATATTTGTTTATATTAAAAAAAATTATCAGCAATATTATATGACGAGTATTTTTTTTAATTTGACAATTGCTTAGTTAATAAACAGAATGAATGATATTATTTACTTATCACAATTTTACTAATATTGAGTTTTCACTAAATCATTGAGAGTATTTTGTTGCCGTAGCAGGAATTCATTTCAGCATGGAAAATAATATTAGGTTTGATATAGTACTACGTTTATCATTGTACTTCAAATGTATGCTAAATCACAATCTTCTTTGATCTGTTAACAAATATTCTTTAATTGATATCAACCATCGTTTTCAAGTATTCCGATAAAACCACCTGAAAATAATGCTTGTATCAAGCAAATTTTAGAATTTGATAAGTTATTGCCGATAGGTGATGAAGAAATTAAAAGTTAAATGAATGAGAAAGGGAAAAAAAGATAAAGTAATCGGAAAAAAGCCGGATTATATGCAAACCGGATTATATCATCAACGTTACATTTTATAACAGAAATTTTTTATAAACAATCGTATGAATAAAAATAAAATGCCATTATTGAAATAATCATAAAATGACATTATTAAAGCAATTTTTTTTACAATTAATTTTCAAATGAAATAATTTCAGGTTCTTCGATTAGAAAAAATATATAATATAACGCATTTATTGTTTGTTTTTTGGATACCAACCACAATTGTTGCACTTTCTTATATGTTTGTCATTTGTAAATTTAATTCAATGAGACGACGAAATCGACGAGGTATACTTCAAATTATTTTAATTATATTTTGAATATTTGCTTCAATAATTGATTGATAAAAAATTTTCCTTCCTGAACAGTTTTATAAATGCTATTTTGTTAAAATTATACGAATCATTTAGAAGTATCAATCTAATATGGGAATTTAAAAATTGTGAAATGGCTTTGTATCATACAGATACAATGAATTCAAATACTGTTACATAAAATTTTGTTTCTGAAATCACATAGTGCGTATATTTAAAATGGTCAGTATTTGAAATCACTTTATCAGTTGATGAAAAATCCGAAACTTTGCTCGTGAACTCACTGTTCAATCGATCAATTATTTCAAATTCATTAAATTTTCAGCCAATCGGCCATCATGCATTACTTATATTATTTCACGTGTATCAGGAAACAAGCAATACGGACACTTAAGTGCTGATTCGTAAGTGCTAGAATGAAATAATTATTTTTCCTTTCCTTATAATATAAACAAAATTTAAAAACAAAATTAAAATTGAAATTTATCATTGCTATTTGAAGTAAAGAAATTTGCTTATTTCAAATTTAGCAATAGAAAAAGTTATTTTCTGCAGTCAATTTTGAGCAAATTAAAACAATTAAGAAATTTGTTTTCAGACGAATAGCAATGACGGCGATAACATCAACGTCGGATGATGCACACACTGTTTTTGTGGAAAATAATTCTCCTACTGTTACGCTAGAATCAGCTGCCACTATTGGTCCATTAGCCTTACAAACTTTAAGTAGAGCTTCCAAGGTATTATTCAATTAATGCTAATTTAATCAATTTCTAATTTTCAAAGAAAAATTTGATAAAAACAGAATTTTGAAGTTTACTACTTGCAGATCAAACTGATATTGAATAAATAGAATTATTAGCAGTCTTAAAAACATTAAAAAGTGTTGAAATGAATTGAATGAAGATTGTAAGTAACAATTTTTCTTTCTCTCTTTTTCATTGGAATTTCACATATATCTGTGACGAATGATAAGAAATGATTATAACTTTAAATTAGAGAAAAATGCTCTAACATTTAAGAATGACTGATAATTTTTCTTCATGATATTTTTAACAAATTTTATACGAAAATTCAAAAAATAAAAAGAACTACAGCAGTATTATGGAATGATTTAAATTTAGATTATGTAAAAAGCTTTTTTCTGATCATCCCATTGATTTGATGCAAAAAAGTAGGAAGAAGATTTTTAAAATTGTCAACCATTAATGATTTGATTTGTCAATATCTTTGGCTAAACATGCACGATACGTTTACTGCAAATTTCATAAAAGAAACTTCATAAAAGTTTTTTTTTTTCCTTTAAAACAAAACAAAACGAAATTAAGATAATACTTTATTATCATCTTAATTTCGCATCAAATCATGATACTTTATTATCATCTTAATTTC